CCGCTTTCCCTCACACTGAATAAAGAAGGGACTGAGCAGAGGGTTTTGGGTTGGGGGACAAAGGAGGGTTGGCCGGTTCATATCTGCCCCGTCCTCCAGTGAGAGGAGGTTGTTTTCTTAGCTCAGGGGACTGTCAGACCAGCACATTATGAAGGTGCATCCTTACCAGGTAAGACGCCCTTCAGCAATGTTGCCAGTAGCAGCTCAGTGGTGGGTAGGTTCTGATCTGACGAGGTGAGAGAGCAACTCATCATCTCAGCCTGAGCAGTCTAGCTCTCAAGGGGAGGCATGCTGGTAGGGCAGGGCTGTGAGGGGAAAGTTTGTGGAGAAGGAGAGGCCTCGCCACCAGCAGTGTTGGGTTCATCCCAAAGGAAGGAAAATTTTTGCTTGCCAGTAGGGACCTAATCAGCTGAATTTGGCAGTATTTTATGAATATTCTTTTGCCTTGAAGCTATTTGTACAGGAATTTTGGGTACAAGGTCCAGGTCACCGCTCCCAGCAGGCAGAAAAACAGCCCCCAGCTGCCTGGCAAAAGTCTTTCCAAACCAAACGTTGCATCTTTACACACGTGAATGTGCCTTCCTTGCCATGGAGCCAGCTGTTGAGTCTGGTCTTGACAGACCTGGATTTCCACTCCTTTTTGGGAGTGGGGGGTGCGTCAGCAATAGAGTGAGATCCTGTTGCAAACTTAGCTCTCCTCTCAGGTTATACGACAGCAGTCCCAGGCAGGAGAGCAATAAGCTCAGGTGCCAGGAGCTGTGACTTGGGCATCAGCATAGGAGAGCCAGGGTCCGCACAGCCTCTGGAGGCACACGCTGTCCCAGCATCTCTTGAGTGCAGCCCCAGAGCCAGGGAGGAGGCAGCTGCCTCGCACACTGCTGCCGCTCTCATGCCTTATATGTGGCCTTAGCCACAACCCCTCCCTGGTTGTTTGTCCCAGCACGACCCAGCATGTCTAGTGCACCCTGGTCACTGTGATGTGGGAGTTCACATGCTGAGAGGCAGCAAGGATGAGATGCCTCAGTGCACCTGGAGGTCTGCCTCACCACATCTTCTTCACCATCGCTACTCAGCCTAGCTAGGCTCAGGCTGGCCACGAGCATGGCTCCATGCTGCAACCATGTCTTCTGATTGCAAGGTGGACAGTCCTTTAAATCTGAGAGGCTGCACCACTGCAGGATTTGGGCAGATGTTGAGCAATATCATTAAAATTGTTTTAACATGCTCAGATTTCAAACACTAAAAACCGCAACCAGCACAGGTCATTTTTCTCCTGTGCTGCATGTCTGAGCAGGCGATAGGAAACCTGCCTAAAACACTGAGTAATTGTTACAGAACAAGCAACATCCTGCTACAAACTAACTATTGTTTGAGCATATTCTTATCTGGGCATGGCTTAGGCTTGTGAGCTTTACTCTAGCCTTGAAAATGTATGGCTTTAACAAAATAAAAGTTACTTTTCCAAAGAAGGACTTGTATCACATTTCTGTCACACTTTGCAGCCGAGATAATGCAACCCATAGAGCTCTGACTAATCGAGAAAGTAACAGAAGCACAGTTGTTCTTTGTTATGCCTTGACATCTGATATTAATGACCCTTTTGTACCTTTAAAACTTTTCCTCTCTCAAAGCACTTTAAAAGAGCTAATTCATTAAGCTACACAAGATGTAGGTGAAAGCTGGGAGTTTACAGGCAGCAGGTTCAGCTCTGTATGTGCTGAAGGAGGACTTTTCGTTTCTGTGAGATGCATCTATTAGTGGGACGAGGCAGGATGGGCCACCTTAGTACGGAAAACTCACATCATGGTAGGATGGAAAAATGCTGTCAGCAGCTGAGACGGTATGGGAAGGCAAGATTTACGTGTCTAAACTATATAGAATGAGGACACCAATTTATCCCTCACCTCTTGCAAAGAAACTCTGCATGTCTCTAGTCAATGAGCAGGTGAGGATGTCTGCTCCCAGCTGAAGAGCAGCAAAGAGCTCCTTAACTCCCTAGTGGGGCTTATGATGATCCTGCTGCGAAAGCAAGGAGCCACACGGTAAATCAGGAGCATCACCGAAGCAGTGATTTACTCTCCTACACTGTCACCTACCTAGTGATGGGCTGGGCTGAGGTGACAAAGGATCAGTGCAGAAAGGGAAAGGAGGTCTTCAGATGCATGGAGAGCTGGGGCTCTGGCTGTGCTGCAGGCATTGGCACTGTATGCTCGCTTTTGCCTTTGAAAAGCTCCCAAGTTTGGCTGGAGTTTGTGACTCGGGAGGAGAAGGGCGCGACCGATCCATAGTGACTGCATCTGCAGGTCACCTTGGCTTTCTGCACAGCTGACAGGGAGAAACTGACTCTTCTGGCACGCCATTCACTTCACCTGCTTTGTTACATCTTTACAACAACAAGAATCACTCTCTAAAAGGGAACCTTTTAGAAAGCCTGGGGTGCCGAGCCCAGATGCAGGCATCTCCATTTTGGAGATACCTCTATTTGAGCAGATGAACCTCCTCTAGAAGAGTCTATGTTCCTTCTACATCTGCAGGAGTTCAATACGTCTGACAGGAGCTCTAAACCACGGCTGGACAAAGAAGAGAAAGGCTAATTAGTACTTATCTCTCAGATGATGAATACTGGCCCAGAGTCACTCATAGGACAGCGAAGACAATGTAAAATAAACTCACCTCAGTCAAATTGCCCAATGCTATGGCAAAGGAGTTTCTATGCCCTTGAAGGTGACTTTGATCTGTGTTAAATTCACTCTGATTTGGGGCCAGAGAAACAAGTCACTCACCTACAGGCACAGAGGGATCAGCCACCCAGCATCGCCACAGCCTGTAGATCACAGGCTTGGGTTCAGGTCCTCTGGATCACACCTCTGCTATCATCGCCCATTTTGGAGCTACTCTTCTTTGCATGGAGATACCAGTCGTGAACTTAGTATCTCTCTCTGGACAGGGAGCTGCTCAAGTTCAGAAGGGAACTGAGCCGTACTTGTTCATAAGTTATCTCTTTAGCTTCGTCAGTGCCAGAAAATAGAAAAGGTATCAGAAAATAAATTTCGGCATAACTTGTTTGGGCAGAAAGGATTGCCTGAGAGCATAAAGTGTAAGGTGTGTCTGCAGCTTGCGTCTTAGTGAGATTTTGATACTGTGAGTTTGGCATGGAACAATTTCTCATTGCTGTGCAGTCTTCCGAGCAGTTGGCCTTATTTCAGTTTATGAATATATCTCACACTGGGTAACATCTGCCATTGATTTCAACAGAACTGGTGGTTTCAGCCAAGCAGAAAGGCCTACAGACTTTCCAACAATGTTTATATTGCAGCTGTCTGGAAAATCTCCAAAGAAATCTATTCTGCCAGAAACGGATGATTTATCAAGCAGAAATGTTTATGGCAATTTGCCATTTTTAGTGGAAAAAATTTTTCAGGTCCGGGTTGGAACAAGGACCAGAATCATCCAAGAACAGCCAGTAGTCTGGATTACAGAGGTTTAGGACATTCAATACTCTCTTCTATCTAAAACCAAGCCTGGTACTTGACCATAGCCATCTCCATCTCAAAGGAGGGCTCTTACGGCCATTGCTCATCCTAGCTTATATCTCGTTTTCTCTTATATGTTAACGTGAAAGAACCCTGCTTTGTTCCATTGTGGGAGGAGAAAAAGTATCAAATTTGTGACCATTTTTTTATGAGAGTGAGAAGCCATTTTCCAGCCTGCTCCACTGAAAATTCACAGCCCAGCATGCCCCCCGAGCCAGCAGCAGGATCAGTTGGAAAGCTGAAGCAGTGGCTTCAAATTCTGCTGCAGTTTTACCTTTATTAAAAACTAACCAATTTAAACTGGGCAGAAAATGGACATTTAGAGCAGGTGTCACTGTGCATTTACTACTTTGATACTACATATTTTTATGAACCTCCTAGTGCCCACTTGGTAGAAATGGTTTGAGGCCAAATCCAGCAGCTACAGTAGATGGGCAAGAAGACATCAGGAAGGAGCAGCAGGAGCTTTCCGCTGAGGGGAGAAATGCAGCAACTAGATGTTTCAAATGAAATGACCCGGAGCTAAATAGTGAACAGTAACAACTTCTCAGCAGTCTCTACTTGGTTTTGGTGTCAACAAGCTGTGGAGAGGAGCAGAGCAGCCATAGAGGAATGTTATGGAAGACTCGGGAAGATGTCACTGTCTGGATTTATGCCACCTAACTTTATACATTTACAATCTCTTCTCTACAGGCACCAGACTCCCTATACTAAGTATAAAATTATCACTAGGCTTTAACCTAGGCATCTCAGCTAATTGCCTAAAGCTGAGGTGAATTAATCTAGGTCTTAGATGAGGGTTACTCCTCACAGCTAATCGGACTTGTCCCATCATTTACACCTCTGAAGTGTCCATTAACTTAGATCTCCCAAGATGTTACTCAGGCTGGATGGTCTTTCCCAAAGCCCCGTGGGAGGCTTTTGTGTCACTTGGTCCTTCCATCTGGGTAGCACTGATTTACAGGGACTCCACCTCCTGTATGCTGCTCGAAACAAATCCTGAAGCTGGCGGCCAGATTTAGCCACTGGGATGGATTTGTGTGTGGTCTTGATGCAACAGATATGATTAACCACCAAGGGTGCTTGAAACTCAACAGGTTGGCCTGACCTATGTGGAGCGCTCACATACCTCAAAGAACTTGAGCCACATTTTTTGAGTTCATAGAAAACATGCATATTTGTGGGGAGCTAAGTACAACCTTCACCTCTGAAGCATCAGCAGGGTGTGAGCCTCTGGTTTAAATGGACACCATGGCACTGTACAGGTAATAGCCTGCGCTTGGAAAACCACTGCTCTCTGTAAAATTGAGATGAGTTATTTCGTTTTGAGAAAATGGGCTACC